AATTACATCTTAAATGACCGGGGTCACTTAAGAAAACTCTCGATTAAGATCAGTGGTTTTGCCTTCAAGATTTCAAAGTTTAGGTTTTCACGATTGGACATAGGAAAATCAAATTGGAGTGACTCAAAATAAAAACAATTATCTTAAGGAATTCAAAGGAATGAATAATATGAGACATCACAGATCCTGGGGAAACCCCGTGGATGTCCCAACTATCATAATGTTCGGCTATCTTATAGTTTGGTTCTATGTCTTTGAAATGATGTTATTTAATGTTTAATCCTGTAATTTATTTAAAATTTAGAACTTATATTTGTACGATATCTGATCGTGCAAATAGCCTAAAAAGATAGGAAGATTTACACCATATCGTACGGTAACCTCGGAATCCTAAAGTGTTAGGACTTATAATTGCACAACAGGGTTGTGTAAAAGCCTAAAAGTGATATGTGAGGGTTTACGTTGTGCTAGGTAAACCACCTCGACCTCTTATGGGTTGTTATTTAAACTAAGGAAAGTGTTCGGTTTGAATGTGAAAGTGTTTTGATGTTGCAAATCCATCTTGAAGTTGTTCCACGTTGTGTTGCTCATGGTATTCGCTCCAAAGCTCTTTGTATTAGGACCTCCATGTTTAATGTTAATCCTATATAACCACTAGGTTTTCCTAAACTAAGGTATAGTGTGTAACAAAATGATTAAGCATGCAGTATAAAAGAAAAGAACAGTATAATGTACAGAAAAGAGGAAGAACACTATAGCATGCTGAAAGAATAGTATGATGTGCATAACATGCTACGAAAGTAATACAAAATGCTAGAAAATAAAAATGATGCAATGTAAATCACACTTGTAAATTTGGGAAGTCTGCTGCTCTTTTAAGCTAACTATTATTCACTGTATAAATAAAAAAAACATTGCTTGGAAGCTTCGAGAAAATCGACAAATAAATTCACGACGGAAGGTTCGAAAAAATTGACAAATAACAATCCAAATAGAACTATCAAAAACCTCGGGAAAATCCAGAAAAAAAGACCACGAGTGTTTTGTCCAAAAATTTCAAGAAAAACATACAAAAAAGTCTGAAAAGAGGGGACCGCAAGCACTTGGGTCGAGGCTAGGCTAAAATATATATTTATACTCGAGGGTCGTCGAAGGCTACTCGGTCACCCGGATGTATAAAGTCCGTCACTCCACTAGAAGAATATCCTACTGAACCTAACTTAAGAGGGTACTCCTTAGCCAGGATCGGTGATCAACAAGTGGACAACCCGAACGTGACATATTTTAAAAGTTAAGTTTTAGCATGCACATGTGTTTCAAGCATACAAAAGGAAAATTGTATTTAATTTTGTAATGAAAATATTTTTTCATAAATATTATATCTGTTCTTATCAATTTTAAAATGTATAGTCCACAAGTCGATCACGTCATCGGGTCTAAGACTACCAACGACCTAAGAACGTATGGGTCCCCCTCTAGTCTTGTGTCGGTGAATGATACTTTCATTCATCAGGTCTCAGGTTTCAGAATTGAGTCCTGGTGTTATAAGATGAGATATCATTCTGCTCTACCACCGGCGTGTCTTTGTCATCATCGCCCTATGCCCCAAAACAAAATCGATCTACTTGCGGTCTTGCTTGATGGTTTCACATATAGCAAAAGGCTATACACGAGCACTTATGTATCGGACATAAGCACAGAAAACCGAACCAAGAAGCAAGGAAATAAAATAAAAATGGGGATGAGATAGAGGAGGCACTGATTCACCTAAAACATCGAAGAGACAGATGATGAATCAGTCCTCAAAATTGTGGCAAAAAGACCTAGAAAAGAGGGCCTAAGATCCTTGAATCAATTCTAGAAGGATATCATTTTCTCAACTTTTTATAATTGGATCAACCCAAGAAGGGTGTCTTTTCCAAACGACAACTTTATGAATTTCCAAACCCTTCATGAATTCAATTTGCATCGACCTTATGTTTCCTCCAAATGAAATTGTACAAGCCCTTTAAATTTCACAAAAAAAAGAACATTAACCAATAGAAGAAATAACTCTCTAACCTTCCAGAAAATCACAGTAATGTCAAAATAATTTACTTTCATCCTTCATCAAAAGTTTACAATGAGATCTAAATCCAACATTACATAAAAGAAACCAAATATATGCTCTCGGGTAAGGCCCATAAAAGGGACAAAAATGATCGCAAAAGCAACCACCAAACAGCCTAGAGCAGCTCACGAGCAAGGCCATGAGGGAGGCAGCAAAAAGAAAAAAAAAAACGAGCCTGAACCATGTCACAACACCAAAGAAATGCTGCAGCAAGGCTCACGGGTTAGACCAGGATAAGCAACTCACGGCCACAAATGGCAAGGAGGAACCCAACACAACACAAACCCACGGGTAGGGGCAAAGAAAAAGGCCCCCAAAGGCAGCATAGACCTATGGGTCAGGGCCAAGAAGAAAGTCCCAAAGGCAACATAAAGAAACCACCATAAGTACTACCATTGCATTGTGTTTGACATACATAAGAGAGTGAATGTACAAACTATTATACATCATTGAGATCGAACCCACTTTCATCCCATAAGCCATAACAATGCTCAAACTAAACATTCCCGCATAGAGATAGGTATTGAAATTCAAGAATTTTAGGATGACAAACTTGATTACTAATAACATATCTTAAGAGAAGCATTAAAGAGAACGCCCCAACCAAGCCATGCCCAACAAAAGTGTCAAACCAAATCCAAGAAAAAGTCCTAAGCAATAAAAGATTTCAGCCAATATATAATACCAAAAGAAGCTCAAACCGAGCTCACCAAAGGGGTAGACCAAGTCCAAAGAAAGGTCCAAACATATAAGGAATTTTAACCAACATAACTCACCAAAAGGAGCACAAACTGAGCCTAGCAAAAGGCCAACCCGAACCCAGCAGAAAGGGAAAACCGAACCCATGCATAATACAAACCAACTCCAGGCAAGAGTGAAACCAGGTCCAAAGAATAATTCTAGCAATAAGGGATTTCAACTAAAATACAAACTCAAAAGGAGCCCAGCCAAGTTTAACATACGGGACAAACCAAGCCAGCACGAGGTAGTCGAACCAAAACCGAGTCCCACCAAATGGGAGAACAAAAAAAAAAATCATTTATAATTTGGTCCAAAAGGGGCTCAAACCGAGCTCAATCACAGGGGCAAAACCGAGTCAGCACAAAGGGCAAAACCGAGCTCAGCACAGGGGCAAAACTGAGCCAGCACAGGGGCAAACCGAGCCCAGCAAATGAGCAAAACTGAGTATAGTAAAAGGGAGCAAAAACAAAGAAACATTACAGGTAAATCGAACTAATCAAATTGGTCAAAGCAAAGCCATAAACAATCAGATTTCATAAAGCCTTAGACTTCAAAATTTCTTGCACCTCAGCATATGTTTTAAGAAGGAATTGATAACAGAAAATAAATAAGTGTAACGAATCCCTAAAACCAAATATTTCTCAGTATTGGAATGAATTCCAGCACTTCCTTGATTCAAAAATAACAATAATAAAAGACCTCAGTATTTCATTCCAACATGTATTCGAACAAGGGGCAGCAAGAGAAGCAAGAAATGAGCTCCAAACATATTTTTCAAATCATAAAAGTAATTTCTAGCATGTATTCCAACAAGGAGCAGCAAGTGAAGCAAGAAATGAGCCTCAAACATAATTTTCCAACTCATAAAAACAATTTACAGCATGTATTCTAACAAGGGGCCGCAAGAGGAGCAAGAAATGAGCC